TTTTTTTTTTTTTTTTTGATGCTTTCAAGAGGAAGGAGAATAGGATCCTGTGATTAAATGGTTTATAATGGGGAGAAGGGACCATTCAGAAGCAGTGGATAGAAGAAGCTTTATGAAAATGGTATATGTGTTTGGTTCTAGTCATTGGCAGACATCAGCATGCCATTAAATTATGGAAGATGTACTTGGCCTAATTAGATAAGGAATTTCATAAGAAGCTGAAAATACTTCAGTACCATTATTAAACGGTAGTTATTACAGATAATTCTCTTGGGCAGTTGCCTTTTTTAAGTGAATTATTTAAGTAAAAGGCTAAATCAGCCTTTTCTAGTACATTAAAATTTTAGTCTTACCTGTATAATAATGTAGGATGCTTCTGAGGACCCTTCTCTGTGCTCCCAGAAGAGGAATACTGTATGAACATTCTATGGATTGTGTTTTCAATTTTAAAATTCCCACATACCCTCTGATTCTTCTTATCAGCACACCCCAGCATGCTTATAAAGTTGATATGGGTATAAAAGGATAAAAGCCTTGAGAAACATAAATTAAAAGAAATATTTTTTGTATAAAGATGCTACTTTGTTTTATTCATCTCATCCACTTTTTCACAGTTTTTGTTTTTTGCTTTTAAACTTTAGAAACGACATAAAGCTGATAATGCAGTGAACAAGAAACAGACACAAGGTAGGAATTTTACATTTTAATTTCTCTTATCTGTCAAATACACTCTGGTAATATATATAGATCACATCAATGAAATGTAATTCAATTGAAAATACCTAAATACCTTGTATCTCTTAAGTTTTTGTTCCAGGGGAGACTCTTTTTTTTTTTTTTTTTTTTTTTTTTTTTTTTTTTTTTTTTTTTTTGGTAGTATTTATTAGCATAATACTTAAATTCACATTAGAGTGATTTACAGTAGTAATACTTCTGAAAGATAACATTTTTAATATGCGTAAGTGCCTCATAGCAATGCATTCCTGAGTACTGTCCATGAAATCAGTTGTGCTAAATGCTGCAAAATGTCTATATTTTGTTAGTGATCAATAGATGTTACTCTAGGTAAGATTTATAGAAAATAATCAGATGTGAAGCTACTTGTTAAAAGGCATGTTGGAAACACTTTGTGTTATACTGTACACACAGATGATATATGCTCCAGAAATAAATAAAACAAAAACCAGGCCAGCTTCTGGAAAGTACATGGCATTTTGACCTGGATTTTTTGTTGTGGGTCTCATTTTGACACAGCAAGAATCAAAATGACCTCTCACACAAGTAAATAGACCATAATGCTCTTATATTCTTAAAAAAATACCCAGGATCACGTGAAATAGACACCTTACCCATCCCTGAGCTTGCCCCATCTGAGAATCTCATTTCTCTCTGAAGTTTCCTAATGTGATGAGGATCAGTCATGTGTGCCCAAATCAGCTGGTGATTAAAAACAGTATTTTTATACTGCTGTGATTTTTATGGGACTCTGCCAAACACCCTGCTTTTCTTCCAAAGGGATCATCTGCTTTTACCTTCCACTAAAGGGATTATCTGCTGATTTTTGATACATTTGTGAAAGGTACATTAATTAAAGTATCCTCTAATACGTTTACAAAATATTTACTGAGCTTATAATATTTATTATAGGACATATGAAAAAGCGTAAGATGGGAACTATATAAAAGCCCAAAGGTAAAATATGATCTTGTGTGGAAAATGAAAGTTTTGGCATACATGATCTCAATGTCTCTGTAGATTTTTGTGGCAAATAATGGTTCCTATGTCAAATACTATATGGGTCCAAGAGAAGGAAAGGAAATTGTGGGGTAATTTGAGATAGATCTTGAATTTTGGGGAGCACTTTGGATGAGCAGAGGCATCCAAATGGGGAAGATACTACATGTGTGTTGGGAAAGAGGGAAGAGAGGTTATCCTGAACAGAGATGAAAAAGGCTTCTGGATTGCTTTGTTGAACTGTTACCAGATTGCCAGATGAAGAAAGGAGATTCATATCAAAGGGAAGCAAACACATGATTAAAAAATAGGGTCAGGGTCAAATTTTCCAGGGCTTGAATGCCAAGCCAAGGAGATTCCAACTTTTCTTGAGTGTACTGAGTAGCTATTGAAGGTTTACAAGTGGAAAAGAGACAGGATGACCATCCAGATTAAAGTTGAAAGAACAGAGTGGAATGGAATAGGAAGCTATTAGAAGCCTGGGGACAAAGTACTCCAGGAATTTGGGTGTGAAGAGACAACCATTAGGAATTGAAAGGGGAAAAAAATCCACACGTTACAGGTTCTGGTATTTTGGACAATGTGCGAAAATACATTTGCGCTTGTTGCCATGTTGCTTAGAATATTCAGAGCATCTTTTGAACCAAAAATATGTAACTTTTTTTTTCCCAATACATAGCGTATCTTGTAGCAAAGGGCTATCTTCAGGGACTAGCAGTTATTTATTTTCAAGCACTGGCCCAAGAAGTCAACATTGTACGATTGAAGAGCAGCCATCATAGCTAAGATGATTGTAGGCTACCACACCTTGTACTGATGGGTTTTCCAATTTTCCAGGTACTACCTACTGCCAGAAATACTCACTTTTCTTCCTATTTAGAGAAAATATTGTTTCTTGGTTCATCAGTTTATCCTGGATTAACAAGATTAGCTCTCTGGCTAAAAATGAAGAAGAGAAAGCTTCTGTAGTGACATAAAACTCATGTCAAAAATAAAATATTGGAGCTTAGTAGCTATAAAAACCACTTCAAGTCAGCAGAAAACTTGAAAATTCTATTTCCAAGAAACTATGGCTCTTAGTTTGATACTTGAATTTATTTTCTGAAGGAATAGACTTTTCTTTTTTTCCTCTTTGCCTAGCTGAATGTTGGTTGTCTTTTTGTATTGTAGTTAGTTAATAGGAGGTAACAGAAATGTTTGAGTAGGATACTGTTTGCTGTCAGATAACTCAAATTGCTTGATATAAAAGCCATCTGTTGTCATTAGACCAGAATGAAATTCAATTTGCCTTCCTGAATTGGAGGCAAGAATGGGTGTAGGAGTGGGAAGGGGGGTATTTTTGAAAGATAATTAATTTTTGACAGACATTTGAAGTATTTAACTTAAATTTTCATTTTATAAATGTTTATCAAGACCATGTAATGCTTAAGAGGACACCATTCTGTCAGATTCAAATATTAATCATATATTCTTACAGAAATAAATATTTTGTCTCTTCATTTTACATTGAAACACTCGAGAGTGACTTTTATCTGTCATTCCCTAATGACTTCAGAAATATAAATTCGTAATTTCATTTACAACATTTTCAACCATTTAACTGGAGATTGTCTGATGCATAATTTTCATGAACTAATGATTCCAAGCAGGGATTAAATTACGGATTTAGGACCTAATGCATGACTTCATAAACTTTACATTTTGCGTCTATCATCAGTACTTATGGGAACAAGGCATTTCTTGTCCTAGAGATAGAGAAGTTGCTTAGGTAAATGGTTCAGCGGGCTGGCCAGTGCAAAATTGCATATTGGTCTCTGAGGTCCTGGTTGCTGAGGGAGAGCAGTGTAAATTGATGGCCAGAAGTCCAGGGAGGATGAGTGAGTCTTTGAGTTTTGTGGTTCGCTCCTCCCAATAAATTGTGATTGCTTCCCGTGTTTTTGTTATGTGATGGTTTGTGTGTACTAGGTAGGTGGGCCCTTTTACTCATCTTTCTGTTCCCCATGTCTCTTAGCTCAGGGGCCTGCCTGTATGGATGAATGAACCACTCTCCATCTATAGACTTGAGTACAGACAAAAAGCAAGAAGAGACTAGAAATGAAAGGAGCCACCTTAGAAATTCATTATCTGGGCTGTAAGCAAGATGAAGAGCAGTGTTTTCAAAACACTGTGTCCCAGACTGTTCTGCAGGCACTGATAAAATGCTAATGTGACAGAAGCTCTTGCTGCCTCTGCACCTTGTCTGTTGAAGCCATCATATCATCATTTTACTCTGCTTTGCCTCCTGTGAACACAGTACTGGGTCCACTTATCACTTCCATTACCCAGAGCTCCAGAGCACTGCTCCAGAGCAGGGCATTCAGAATGCCCTGGTTTTCTTTGCGTCTAAACTTACCTTCATTTTCTCTGATTTCTTCCTCTATATTTGAACTCACGGTATTTGATATACCTCACTCCATGTGTACACACACACACACACACACACACACACACACTGGAAGCAGTCTCTCATAGCTTTCCCTAATCTGGGTGGTTTTGCCAAATTTAGCTTGGCAGGAATTTGTAGAATATAAATTTGTTATTATCATTATGATACGTAAATTGAAGACAATCTCTGTATGAATTTATTATAGTGGTTGAGCTGCTTCTCTTTTGAATACATAAACATATATTTGAAATGCTATTGTGGCTAGCATGCCAGCATTTCAAGTGGAACACTAGTTTCACACAAGATCACAATACGGACGCCTGGGGAAAAATGGGGTTCAGGTGCAGACTGAGAGAGATATTTAGGATCTTAAAATTAAAAATGTCCCCCAATGAAACATATTTGCTTTTTTAAAATCCCAGGTTTGGCTGTCTTCCCTGAAGGGTGGAGTGTATACCTTTCACAGGGGAGAATGGATGGGAGCCACCTGTGACACCTGGCAGCCCGTCAGTCACCTGATCTGATGCCATAGTTGAACGAGGACCACCAGAAATTCCTAGTTGGATTGTTTCATACATTGCTCTATCATGTAGCAGACATGAGATTAACTTTTTTAAGGTTTACTTATTTTGAGAGAAAGAGAGTGCGTGAGCAGGGGAGAGGCAGTGAGAAAAGAAGAGAGAGAATCCCAAGCAGGCTCCGAGCCGTCAGAAGAGAGCCCAACATGGGGCTTGAACCCATGAACCGTGAGATGACCTGAGCTGACGTCAAGTCGGAAGCTTAAAAGGGACTGAGCCACCCAGGCACCCCTAGAGTAGGTTTTTAATAGTTGTTTTTCAGTTTTAATGTAGAAAAGGACAACAACAAGTAGGCATGTAGCTAAAAATAGGAGATCTCAGCTTTACTTGTGTCTTCCTTCCCTGGAGCTACATCAGCCTTTTCAGAAGTGGAATTGAGTTAGTACTGGCTGATAGCCACTAAGGGGCTTCTTCCCTGCAGGGCACAGTGTTGCCTGTCTCCCACTGGAAACCATTTCACCTTTAAAGCCCTTTGTGAAAAAGGTGTTGAGTTGGCCTGGGTGGAATATGTTTCAGGACGTTAACCCTGAAATGGCCTACCATCAGGCTGAATCCATCCGGTTAAGTTCATCCCATGCTAAGGGACTTAAGGTAGTACCACTGTCCTGCTTGTTGAAAAAGCCGGAGTGCTGCATTTTTGTCTCCCTGGAGGTCTCCCCACATCTGGTCTGTGCAGTAGGCCTGAACATATACTCTGCCACATGTGCATTGTCTTACCTATAAATAGTTCCTAGAAACTAGTGCTTCCATGATCTTAAACATCGGGCTTAAAAATGGAGCACATGTATGGCCTAAATAATGTTTTCAGACACTTGTAAGACCATTAATATGTTCAAACTATCACAAGATCTTAGAGTTGTATAAATTGAACTGGTTAGGTATTTTCAGCAACAGCTCTGGATGGAGACCAGGCATTTATATGAGGGGAATACAACCCCAGATTGTCTTCC